AAAATTTTCGTGGCAAAAAAGTCCTCGGCGAAATGCCCTAGACCCCATAATCGAATGCCAACTTGAACGACTTGTACGATTTTATTTTGAACCCATCATAATACATGACAAACTATGATACCTTTCACATCATAGTTCATGAACACAGAAGTTGCATCGGTACCTCATTATTTTTCATCGGGAATTATTTAAATAATAAATAAATAATAAATTATTTAAATTATTTTTCGTGCATTCGAATAAATTCGATTTTTAAATAAGTTATACTAGTTTAGTATGATATGTTATTATCCACATGTTTTATTCTACCTGTACAGTTTGAGTTACATTACTTATAATGTTCTTTAAGTTTTTGATTATTTACTTTTTTAATTTAATAAATACAAAATAAATAGTTATATAGAACCCCCTTTTTTTATGTAATCAACTTAAAAATCAATTGATATAAAAATATTTGGTAGAGGATGTAGAGGCACTAAAAATGATCTTGATACCAGGTGTTAATTATGTAAAGCATGGCACTGATTATAGTGACTTACCCGTGGTTAGTTATACACTTAAACGAGTATAGGATTTCCGCAAGCTGTCCATCCCCCCTCCCCAACCAGTAAATGGCACGATTTTTACGAGCATAATATTATTCTATGGTATAATAATAGTACATTAAAAATATTACAATAAATATAATATATAAATATATATATACATTAAACGAACATATGATATAATATGACACGAAAACTTCAATACATACAGGTCCCTTGGCCTACGCGATACACCGTACATTGTAAAATATGTCTGAAACAAGCACGAATTTAAGGCTAACACTGAAACAACCACATAATTTGATACTTTTTAACACTAAGCTCTTCAGTTCAATAACGATATTTTATAAAAATCTTTAATAATTGAAATGTTATGTGTTTGACGTTCCTACACTTACATGATTTCAACCATTAATGTTTATTTTTATTTAAAGGTCCGGCAAACTACCATGTTCAAAATGATAATATAAGTCATAAGATCAACTTGAAAATGAAAACAGATAAACGTCTTATGGTGTCCAGAGCACCATTTAACAGCTCGTCCAAACGTTAATTCTGTAGCACTGCTACAAGTTCAATCTAACTCTGTCCATAAGAAGAAAAAGAAGACGGAAAACAATTATACAGTGTGATCACGAAAGTAGAAACACTCAATAACTTTTTGCAGGCTTCATATATTTTAATTCTTCTTTTTTGGCTTACTAATAAACATTATTATACACATTTTTCAGATAATTAGACTATTTTCGTCACAATTAATTTCGCCCATACACACAAAAACTTTTTTTTTTAAATGGCATGACCTATTTTTGACCACAACTTATTTTATTCTGTATTTTTTAATGCATTTTAGTGATTGAATTTCTTTTCTAAGTTAAAAATTAGCCGAGTTATAACAACTTGATTTTATATTATTTACACGGTAACATGCTATAACTCGGCAAATTTTTAACTTAGAAAATAAATTCAACCACTAAAATTCATTAAAAAATACAGAAAAAATAATTTATGGTCAAAAATAGGTCATGCCATTTAAAAAAACATTTTTGTGCGCATGCGCTAAATTAGTTGTGACAAAAATAGTCTAATTATCTGAAAATGTGTATAATAATGTTTATTAGTAAACAAAAAAAGCAGATTTGAAATATATGAAGCATGCACAAAGTTATTGATCGTTTCCACTTATCGTGATCATAATGTATATTAATTATTAACGTTAAACTGAAAATAAATACGATGACATGCAGAACTGTCAAGAACTATATATATCGAGCCCCACTCTGCCCCCTGGAAAAAAATTCTAGTGTCGTGCCAAGGGGGAAGTCTCCTCCGGATCAGTCGAAAAACATCTCCAAGTGTTTTCAGTCCCTTCATCAATATTTTACTTTACATATTGCCGTTGACCATATAGTATTATACGCATAAATGCCGTCGTGACACTTTTTAGTTTAAACGTTTACTTCGTTTGTAGTCTAAAGCGACTCCAGAGGTTCAGCAAGTCCACGATTGTAATAATAATGGTAAGAAGAAGAATAATCATGAAAAACTATCAATATGAGTATCCCTATAAATTTTATTGAGATTTTACTATCCCATCAAGTACCAATTCATGAATATTTTATACAATACAAATATTTTTCTTATGGTTTATAAAGGACATGTTAAAATATGAAAAAAAAAATTAAATCCCATCTTTATATTATAAGTAATAAGTTATAAATGTATTAGTGTTGTTTTTAATATACCTTTTTGTATGCAAACAATAGGTAGGTACAAAGATATAGCCACTTCAATTCTAAATTCCGATGACATTATTGGTCCCAAACGCCCCTGATTACTACAGTCAATATTGTATAATATTTCGGCTATCGATATTATATATCGTTAATAAATATTGACGTACCTAATCATGAGAAAAGTGTAATTAAAAAAATAAACTAAATTTACTTTCAAAGCATAATCAGAATAACCAAAGTGTTTTCCTTTATTAGGATTTAAGAATATACACAGTATACATAATTCTGTACAAATACCTTAAGAATATGTATTATATGCTATGGGAACACTTCCGACTATTAATATATATATATGAATAATATTCATATTCATTGAATATAATATATATGAATTATTTATTGTTAGTAAAATAATTTTTCTCGGATCCATCAACAACAAGACGAATAGTTAATGATCATATAAATAATACAAATTTTCTTTTTAATAAATTTATTACTAATTGCTAATTTTTAATGTAAGCGATAATTTTGGCCAAATCGTTAAAATTTTCAGTGAAATGTTCGAAGTTATATGTTAATGTGGACGCTTTTTAAACGCCGTGAGATGATGGGTTGACGTTGCGTAGAGTCCCGTTCTGCCAATCCCCACCTATCTTAAGCCTTGATTCGTATTCTGAAGTGATTACACAATGCAATAAATTACGATAATATAGGATTGCGAACGGGATGAAACTGCAAAAAGTGATCAGTATAAAAAATACATTCCAGGAAACTAGAATGAAGATAGAACAAACATAATGAAGTAGGTACTTGTGCAGTATGCTACCTTCGTCGGTGTAGTATAGGTACTACCCAGAGGCGTGCCTAAAGTACTGTTTAATATTTGTATGCGACTTGAGCTTAATATCAAAAATATTTATCAGAATTATTTATGTAAGCCATTGTCGATCTATCTACTAGTACTATAAAATGTTGCCAACAAATTATTATCTTGTGACTTGATACATCGTCATCTATTTTTGAAACTATAACTCCATCCCTCAATCGTCCTCTGTTATATTTACACTAAACTTGGAATAGTAAAGCAGTTATATGGTAGGTAGCATAATGTTCGCATACAGTTTTATGATAGGCAACACGAGAGTACCCATAATAAAACGTCTGTAAACGAACAAAACGTACTTTTTTATATTCACGCACAAAGTTGCCTATAGTTAAAGGCGTCCATTGGGGTAAGTGGTAAGGAGGGGACCATGTACACTTTGGCTTTTTCGTGTTTATTATACATTTAAATATAAAATATTATGATTAATAATATATAATAAGTATAATTAATTTGTAAGCAAATCATATCCCCCTCTCTTGGACAAAACTTTACCACGGGAGAACGAATTCTAGGAATCATAGATACTAATTATAAACCTATCATTGATAACAATGACTGAGTGGCAGAGAAGCACCGATCACACGTGTCCCCTCTCCTGATTTTTTTATGATGGACGCCTTTGACTATTGTTAAGTGCGTTAGGAAGTCACGAAAATGAAATCTACGCAACTACGTTCTACATAGTGATGGGAGAAAATAACAGAAACAGTGACTTATAACAATTACTACTAAAGTAATAGGAACAAGCTGTTACTTAGAAGAAAAAGTAACAGTTATTGTTATTTTTTGTTTTGAAGTTTTAACCAAGGTTTTGGGTTAACGAATAACGATGTTATTCATTACCAGCAGCCCTAGCTGAGCAGCTGCAGCTGCTGTAACGTCTGTAGAATGTAAAATGAATAAATGATAATTGATAATTGTTACTCAATGTTTTCATGTTCTTGCTATAAAATATATTGTTATAGTGTTAATGTGTTATTGTGTTACTGTTATACTGTTACTAGAAAGAAAAGCTGTTATCGGCTAGTGATGATAAACAATTAATAACTACTGTTATTTCATTATTCGTGATTCGTTTTTATATATGTATACACATTCAGTTAGTTAAATTTGGTTAAATGAATAATCTTGTTTCTTAAATTCACTACCTATTGTGTAGTCAATGACATTTTTTTTCTATTTACATATAATTGAACAGGTTACAATAGTATCGACCATTTGCCTTTATTTTAATATTCATGAATACTGATGACATTAAATATATTATTTAAAATAGAGGAATACAAAAATCAACAGTGTATAATACTTATATATGGTATTTATTTCTTTTAAAAATATATAGCAATAACTTAATAGCAATAACATTATAACAATAAAAATTAAAAATGCTGTATTCATAATATAAGCTATACTAAAATATAATATTAGGTATTTAGGTAATTAATAATTGATATTTGTAAATTAAGTTTTAAATAAAATGAATCAACATATCAAATAAAAATATTATACAGTACATAATATATATTTAAAATATTACAGTTGCATAGAAAATTTAACAATTCGCGATTCGGTTGTTATAGCCTGCATTTAATTTAATAACACCCATCAGACTTAATCAGCATACACATTGCAGATATTAGATAAATTAATTTTCATATTTTAGGTAGGTGAATATTAGATAAAGATTTGATGTATTATAATAGACATTATATTATAGTCAATTATTTTATAGATTCTCCCAGAAATTGGAAAATACCATCGCCGATAGCAGCATTTCTATAGTACGTTTTAGCAGGTTTAGTGTTGGGAATGCGCGATAACGGACGAGTTTTGATCGCCGCCTAGTAGCGCTCTTTCAGTGACCGTATTATAGTAACAGTATCAATTATAGTAACTATTATTTTCACCGTAATTTTTGGTGTAACAATTACAGTTTATAACAGTTACGGAAATTGATAACAAGTTGCCATTACTAGTTCTACAAGACACATGTTTAATTATTTCATGGAACATTTCCGATAAAGTGTGAATGTGATGACGGGATTACTTTCGTCTATACGTGGCCGACATGTGGCTGCGAGTTCGTAGCGTTCAATATACCTATTCATATTTCATTCCAGATTAATAATATTACTGTTCGTTATCTTCACTCGACGTCAATGCATAAAAAATAGAACAACAAATATTCTGAGATTTATCAGTTCAGTCCACTTGATAGCAGCTAGCTAGTACAACTCTACAAATTACCAAATTCTCGTTCCGGTTTACAAATTAAAGAATTCAATTAATACAAAAAAAATATATATATATATATATTAAATCTCTATGTAATAAAATATTATAATTGAATTACATGTGCGATTTTACATTTCCGTGAGCACAAACTGTTTACTCCTTTTGTAGTTTTATGCTATTGTTTTTACTGTTTGATAATGACTATTACTACTGGTATTGTCTACGATGAAAAGTTCACCGAACACAGTTGTCTGTGGGACGAAAACTATTCGGAGAATCCACAACGATATACATCCATCATAAACCGGTATGACTATTAATTTGCATACCTACCTGTTGAAAATCACTTTGAAACTTATAATATCATGAACAGTAAATAGTGTACATAAATGATTGTGCTATAGGTGCAATTCTTTGGGATTAATTGATCGATGCATTAAAATAAAGACACGTCCAGCATTTAGGGAAGAGTTGCTGACCCAACACACGGCAGAACATATTAACTTGTTAGAAAGTACCCAGAACTATGACGAAAACAATTTAGAATTGGTGTCCTCAAAATATGATTCAATTTATGTGCACCCTATATGTATAATAATTAGAAATAATAGTTATTATATTGTAATATATGATATTATGATATTCAGAATCTATTCTCAAACTATACTTGAATATAAAACTATTTTTGCATACACTAGATATTTATGATTATTTTAATATTGTTTTAATTTAAAATAAAAAAATATTTATCATTTGTTTTAATAATAAATTATAATTATTTAAATTTTTGTCTATACATATTATTATAGTCAACATTCAAGCAATCTCTTCTAGCAGCTGGTAGTTCAATTGAATTAGTTAAAGCAGTGGTTGATGGTCGTGTACAAAATGGAATGGCCTTTGTTCGGTATTTATTCTATTAAAATAAATATTTTTATTTGATGAATCGTAACATAGAAAAACTATTAATTTATGATCATTTTATTTGAATAAATAGGCCTCCTGGACATCATGCAATGAAATCTGAGTATTGTGGTTATTGTTTTTTCAATAACGTAGCTATAGCTGCTCAATATTTATTAGACCAAACAGATATAAAAAAAATTCTTATTGTCGATTGGGACATTCATCATGGCCAAGCCACTCAACAGATGTTCTACGATGATCCCAGGTATTTTTAAATTGTTCAAGTAACCAAGATATATATTAATATTGAAAGATTTACTTTGTAAAACAAATTATTTAATATTAGAGTGTTGTATTTTTCTATTCACCGCTATGAACATGGTCAATTTTGGCCAAATTTAAGAGAAAGCGATTTTGATCATGTTGGAAGTGGCAATGGAACTGGTTTTAACATTAATGTCCCATTGAACAGCACAGCCATGAAAAATGAAGATTATTTGGCTATAGTTCATTATTTATTAATTCCTTTAGCAATCGAGGTACATATGATTAGATAATTTTGGGGAACATGAGTATATTTTATTTTTTCAGTTTTCCCCAGATTTCATAATCGTTTCAAGTGGATTTGATTCAGCCATTGGAGATCCTAAAGTAATTAAGCTTATTGCTACTATCATATTATTACTTCATTATAATAATTCCAATATTATTTACAATTAGGGTGAAATGTTAGTCACTCCGGCGTGTTATGCTCATATCACACAAAAGTTAATGAGCATTACTAATAACAAAGTTGTTGCTATACTTGAGGTACTTAATATACTAACAATTAAGCTGAAATTTTAGACAAACCTGTTTAGGGTGGATACTACTTACCGAGTTTGGCTGAAAGTGCAGCATTGACACTAAGAGCATTACTTGGAGATGCTTGTCCGCTTATCGATGCATTACAACAACCGTGCAACAGGTAGGCTTTGCAAAAATATTATAATCACACTGTGTCACTCACTTTTTATTATTTCAGTGTAATGGAAACTATTCGTAATGTAATTAATGTTCATAAATATTATTGGGATTGTTTCAAATATAACATTTTAGCTGATGCAAATTCACCAAGTATTCAATACAATTTCTTCAGTGAAAAACCTCAAGTATACTTAACCAGAAACATGTATTCAAAAATTGATACTAAACATTTTGATGTATTATTAAACAATATGATAATAGGTATGAACTGTAAAACTTGTTTTAATTTATTAATATTTTTATAAAATTATAATTTATTTATTTGTAAAGAAACTAAACTATTCAATCCAAAAACTAGAATGGGTTTAGCAATCAACGCAAATAAATGTATAAAATATAGTGATATATACCAGTGTTTACAATCACTTATTGGACCTATACATGTTTTAAAGGTAAAATAATACAAATAATACTGTAAATAATTGCATTTAAAAATAATTTTTAAGTATAAATATTGATTTGAGAATACCCCATATTATGTTCTAAAAACAATTGTATTAAGTAATTATTATACAAAGTGTGTATAGTGTCAACTAGTTAAGTTTTTCAATGATTGTAAAATTTACATAAATATTTTTCCCTGTAATTAACTGAGAACAATTTAACATAAGTCTGTAAATTTTGATATGCAGTCATAGAAAATCTTACAAGAATCAAATATTTCTTTTTTCATAATAATATAGGCTAAGATATAATTTATTTTTATTATTTACTATCATAGTAGGTGTAGATAGATTATTATTATTGTTGGTATAATGTTTTCATTTAATATGAATATAAATGCTCATAATATACCTATAAAATAAACTATAAATAAGTTAAAACAGATTATTTTGGTACAAGGTATAAGAAAAATGTCTAGCCTTTTAGTTTTATTTATAACAATTAAATAAAATATAATATGTCCTCAAAAATATAAAATATAATTTACCTAATTGGTATTATGTGATATCAGAAATATACATTGACAAATAAAGTAACAATAAATTTATATTAAAATTATAAAATATTCAATACAATTCTTCTCAATCTGATCAAGACAATAGAGTGGAAATTTAATGCAATATAAAAATAAAAAGTAGAAGAAAAATTAAATATTTTTCACCTAACTAGTATTTTATAAGATTAAATATTCACTTACTAACTAAATAATACAATTTTTAGTTTTAACTAATTACAAGTATAAAATATGGAGTACAATTACTTAGTTAAATTAAAACGACAGAATGGAAATTGATTAAAAATTAAATGTATTCTACTAAATGGTATTATATTATTATGCAAAATCAAAAAAATATTTACTCACTGACAAAATTATAAAAACATTATAAGCAATAAATATAAAATATACGGTAATATAAATTTACTGATAAAAATAAAATTGATAAATTTATTTTACTGGTAAAAATGTACACAGTTTAAATCTCTATTATTACAATAGTATTTAATTTCGTGATTCCGGATTCGGAACGTGGTCCGCCATTTGCCGACCCCTAATATAATGGGTCTGAAAAGTCATTAGACTACTGAAGGCTTAGATAATATTCATAAAAGTAAATATTTTGTCAAAATATAGAGATGAAATAGTTTCTGTTAAAAATTTTGTAAAATTTGTTACAATTGTTTAAAGGTCATAATAATTGTTATAATAATTATTATTTAAGGTTCTACCATAAAAGTATTAATTTGTTAATTTGTCTGTCTATGTTGATAATTTAAGATTTATTATCAATCATCAACTATTATTTTTTATTTCAAGAGTTAATGGTTTATAAAAATACCAATAAGTAAATTAACTTTTAAGAATAAAAAAAAGTCCACTAATTATTTACCAAATATCTACCAATAAAATAAATAATTAAAAGAACACTTAACATGTTTCATAAGGTTTATTGGTGAATTTATTTGTTATGAATAACTTAAGGAGTAAGCTTTATGATAAGATTTAATAAATTATTATTTTGAAATATAATTTAGGAACGTCAAGCTACAATTAAGGAAATCAATAATACATTGTTTAAAACAAAATATAGGAAACAAATATGCCAACAGTTTAATGATGATTTTGTTAAGGAAAATCCAGTTTTTATCATGTTTGGTTTTTTTGTCGGATCGTTATTACAGGTTATTTGCCCTTCTTAGCCTTATTTAAATGTTATAATTTATATCAAAAAGTCTTACCAACAGATCATTGATTCAATATTTGACAACGAAATAAGATCCGGAATATCTTTGCTACTATCAACCACCAATACAAATGAAAATAAAGACACATGTATATTGAATGCTTCTTTAGTTAGTGCTAACTATGCCATAAAAAAATATTCTGTGCAAAGGTTAAATTCATTAAAATACATGTATATCACATTATTTTAAATATTATGATAAAACAATTAATATGATATTGTCATTGTTTCAGGGTCTTAATAATTGAAATGAATAGTAATGTTTCACAATCATATTCTGATGAAAAAATAATGATTATTTCAATACACAATTCAAAAACTGATAATAGTAATAAACTTGACAAAAATTGTATGAATATTTCTTGGTCAAAAGTAAATAGTAACAATATATCTTTATTAAAAACTCATATGAAAATATTTTATATTTATTATGCTTATCTGTTATAGAAGAAATTAAATGATGCGGAATTCACTGCCATAATGCATTACCTTATTTTGCCAATTGCTTATGAATACAATCCTGAATTAATAATTGTGTCAACAAAATTTGAGCTCCACACTAATGAAATTTATGGTAAAATAATGAATTAATATAATAAAAAAATAAAAATGTGTTATTGTTATAAAAGCATACTAAATATTTCTAGGAGTACAAATCACACCAAACATTTATGGATATCTAATTAAATGGTTAAGTACTTTGGCAAATGGAAGACTTGTTATTTATGAACAAAATGTAAACAATGATTCAAATTACAGAAAAGAATGTTTAATGGAATGTTCCAGAGCTTTATTTAGTAAACCGATATCAAAATTATGTGTGAAAAATCTTTTTACTTTTGAAACTAAGAATATTATACAAGATAATATAAAGAACCAAATGAATACATGGAAATCACTACAATTTTAGAAAATATTTTTCCATCATAAAATGCTCATCCTTAATTAAAATAATAACTTTTTAAAAAAAATATTAGAATAATACAAATATTTAAATTAAAAATTATTTATCTGTGTACAAAATGTCAATATGTTTAAAATATGATTTCTATAAACTCAATTATTTAATTATGTATATATTTTATCTTGTCATTTATTAATAAATGTGCAACAAAAAATACTTTTACATTAAATAAAATGCTAATGTTATATAAAATGTAAAATGAGAATCTATAAAAAATATATTTTAAATCTTGATGAATAATTAAATCATGAAAGTAAATCGAAACTAAAAATAATCGCAATGATTTTTGATACATATTTGATTTTTTATAAAAAATTGGGTTATAACATTAATAGGTTTATCACATCGGAATTAATTTTAATAATTCATAACCAACTATTTTCATTTCTGAAATTCCTAACTAAATCATTATTTTTGAGTTTCAGTTCTTTTCGATGTCTTTCATAAATATCTCGTTCTTCCTCCATTTGGTCTTGGATGGCCATTTGATTTCTAAAATGAAGTACTATTGCTACACCTAGTAAAATGTAATTCAAAAATAAAATATTAAAAAACCATTTCTACATGTCAACCGGATGAATTTACCTGCTGAAACAGCAACTACTACAATTCCCATGATTTCCTTAAGCATTTCTGTAAATAATTAGCGTGCCCAAGATAGAAAATGTTGTTGCTTCTATAGTATTTATGATGAATGTATAAGCATTTGATTGCACTTAGTCGAAATAATGAATTACGGAATGAAAAAAATCTAGTTCATGCAGATCAGAATCACATAGATGCCAGTGAGCGACAAGTTATCATATCGTACATTCGCATTGATAAAAAACAACTATTGTACATAATAACGTAATCAGTACCGTATCAAAGGAAGGAGTCGAGTGGCGTGATCTGTATTACTATTAATATTAGTTTGATCGTGAGACACGGTGAAAGCCTAATATTTAATTGTCATGGTACGATTTGAAATTGATCGAGTTTTTCGTTATTTTAAATTGAATAAAATGTACAAAGTAAATTTGGAAACGGCATTTCACAGATGATTTTGAGATAATTTCGATAAAATAATAAGAAAATATTGGTACGAAGTTTGCTTATAGTTGTAAGGTTATGACAGTAGTGTTGCCAGATGTACGGTTTGCACGTACTTCTACGGTTTTGAAGAGTTTCGTGCGATCCTACTTTGAGGACCATAAGCGAACGTACGGTTTATCAACCATATATGTTTACATAGGTATTTTCGCTCGATTCCTGATAAGAATCATAGCTGAATAAAATTATTAACTCGATTTACGCATAGATAATATATTATTGCCTATGAATCTAAGGGCTGGCTAATGGCCCTCATGCTTTCTTTAATGAAATTGACTCAAAATTCCAATGAACGATGTTCGAAATGCCGACTGCGCCACTGTTACGTGGTACACAATTAAAACAGAATCAAACAGAGTATATAAAGGCTCCGTTTCACCACCAACGGCAGACGTGTCTAGCTATCAGTACAAGCCCTTCTGAGTTATGTCTTTGATATTGTTAGTGCACAAATTTATAGTTTGTATCTGTAAATCATTTATTTGTAAATACATTTGTAAGTGTTTAAAAGTGTTTCAATTAATTATTAAATCAATTTATCCTACTCCAACAACATCGTTACGATAGGTACCTGTTTTTATTGGGTACCACGTAACAACTGTCTGTAGTAACACTAACTAGTTTGTTCCAACTTAATCCAAGTTTTTTAAATGTTTTGTCAATTTCGATAAATAAGTCTTCTCCCGTTGTAGTTCCCTTCAAACTACATAATTCAGCTAATTCTTCAGAAATATTGAAATTAAAATCAATTCCTCGAATAAATATTAATAACTGAGCAGTATCACAAACATCAGTACTTTCGTCAGTTGCGATAGAAAAACAATCAAATTTAGAAACTTTTTCTTTCAGTTTGAATATTAAATTTGTTCCTAACTCTTCGGTACGTCTAACACAGGTCCTAGCTGAGAGACTGATGTCTTCAAATTGTTTTTTTTTCTCAGGGCATATTTCATTTACAACGGCTGACATACATTTTTTTATAAACTCAGGGTCGTTGAATGGACGATTACACTTGGCTATCATTTCAGCAACTACGAATCTAGCTCGTACTCCTGATTCGTTTTGATTATGTTGTAATTTAAAACTATTTTGTTGATTAGTTAATGAACTTTTAAAATTGTTTATTTTAATCTGTCTAAGATCACCAGTGAGAGTGTCAAATTTTAATTTATGCTCTGTTTCATAGTGACGTTTAACATTATATTCTTTTACAGTTAAAATGGTTTTTTTGCAAATTAAACATAATAGTTTACCTTTATTTTCGATAAAAATATATAAATCCGTCCATGATTCGTTGAATGTACGATGTTCATCACTAATTTTACGTTTTTTTTGACATTGAATTGATAGGTTATTATAAAACAGTTGAAATTTAAACTTCACGTTGGAATGTTTCGAAACGAATTGCACTAAGCCACTAAGGCCATAACCAATACGTATTTGTCGTAATCGACGATACATACATTACATAAGATTAGATTACGTTTTCGATCATAGCTTATCTCGCATTGATTAAATATTATTTATATATTTTATAACAATTTAAGCTACAAAATTAAAATTTTAAACACCATGAATTATATTTGGAGGGCCGCAGCAAAAAGTTCCGAGGGCCGCGGGTTGCCGGTGCCTGACCTAAATCATCGTATTCAATTAAAGTACTATAATTTAACAGTTCTGGACTTAAAGCTAAATTAAAACATTATAAATAGGTAACTAAAATATATTTTTTTATAATAATATTATGTAATAATAATTTCTTTATGATTTATTATACAATAAGTAAATTTAGTTTTTAAAATAAAATATCTTTAACATTGTTGCACATTGCTACAAGCAGTTTTGATCTGCTATTTATTGTACTTAACAATTTCAAAAACAGTTGTACAAAAAAAAGTTTACATTTCACTACAAGTTATTGTACAAGTAATTGTAGTTCTGCCAAGTAATTTTGAAATTGAACTATAGAATCATCTGTATTACAGATGCCCTTATTATCGTATAGAAATGCAAGTGCACTGGAATCGTTTTTTTGTCTCAAATGTTTGAATTTGAATATCGCTATTATTTTTACCAATATCATCTAACAAACTCTTGACTCGTGTTCAAATGTCCTCTTTTGCATCTGCTACCTCATGTTCTAAATTTTTGTATCTTGGCTAAGTCCACTCCACCCATATGGGAATTATATTATTTTACAATAATTGGGTATGGCACAGGGATCCTTTTTTTCTTTTCTTTGGAGTATCTTTGAATACAACTAGTATTTTGTGTGCTCTCAGAAGTATATGAACCGGCTAAGCATACTACACCCCTCCCCTCTAAGCTGAAAGTCTCTGACTCCCAAAAAAACAAACAAAAATAAAATAAACAATTAAAATAAAGACTATCTAACCTCTTATGGTTAAGTAAAAAGTTTTAATTTGGGATACATAAATGAGGTTTCCTCACTCTCTCTTCCTTTGGAGTTAATGCTAGATCTTCCACATTTGGTGCTGTGGCTTCCATGGAGTGTTCTTCTATGTTGACTTGAGTTCATTTGTCCTCCATGTGAACTGAATATGGTGTTAGTTTCGTATTGGCATTTTTGAGTGTTCTTTGTTTGGTATACCACATAATACAACTAATATTTATTATGATTACCAATAATAATGCTGTTCCTCCAATGACGAAAAATATATATATTTTCATTTCGATTTTCGCATATTGATCCTTTTGTTGTATTTGCTCCGTGTGTATACATTATGTTGTTTAAAATTTAAACTTTAAATCATACATTTGGCTGGTTCTTATGTGATGTGACTGCATTGTTTTAACATAACGACTTCGTATAGTATCTTCTAATAATTCCTTAATTATTGAAGTAGGGATGAAATCGGAATATTGTGTTCTACCTGCTAGTCGCCCTGGAATCAAGACGTCTTGGTTTGCATATCCACGACATGTTTCGTTTAATGCAATGACTCCCGCTCCTTGGAGAATATGGGTTTTTGACTGTGTTTCTTCATCACATGAGACAAATAATGAATCGTTATTTGTTACATATAACCATTCATTTTTGTACTTCAACTTATGGAAAACTGTTGTAGCCATCTCAATATGTCGTATGTCACAGCTATTTGGCACTTAAACTGACTAATAAGAGATTTTAGAATACAATAATACAAAAAAAAATTCACTTTAAAAATTGTAATCATCAGTAATCAATTAAATTAAATATAACAAAGAATAATAAGTATTACAATAAGACAGAGGTAAGTACCGAGCATATACTTTATAAATACTATAATTACTTATTTCTATTAAACTAAATAAATTATAATACAAAATATATAATAAACAATGATTACGATGCGATGGTACGGAAACAGCTCGGCCTACTTGTCTTCGCCCGTCGCGCATCGGATATGATATTCTTATCTAATAAGTAATAGAAAATTATCTGTTTCTCCCACCAGATGCACACCAACATTGGTTCGATACGGAGCTATACGGGATTATTTTATAAATATCAATTTAAATAAATTTATTTCTTTTATCGCTATCTACCGGCAGTTATATTCTATGCCATCGAAAAACTATCCAGTGAGCTATCTATACTATCTATAATCAATGATACAACTACAAATATGAAAAATCTTTAATTTCTTGATACAGTAGTCAATAAAAAAAAATCCAATAATAAAATGTTTCTACTTATTAATGAAGTAAGGGAAGTAGTTGTATGCAGGGTTATTTTTCAAGTATGCTCACTCAATTTTTATGCATTGATGATTTGATTAGAATGTTAATAATATTTTTTAACTTGGTTAAGGTAAATTATTATTTTTCAATTTAATTAAAAATTAAGTTAATAAACATTTCTGATATATCAATTAAGTTAAATTAAAGTTAAGATAATTAAAACAAAAAACTATGTTAACTTAACTTTTAACTTATTAATTCATTAATGCCCAGCCTTGTATTAATTAGAATTTGAATAAATGTATCAATAATGGAGAAAAACCATGGGTGAGCATTTTTAAACAATCACCCTGTACATATACGTGAGCAGTAGACGCTTGACAAAGTTAAAAAACAAATTTTTAATATTTTTACTTTTTTTATAATTCACGTTTTTATCTATCAGTTAATAGGTCTTTGGTTTTTTTTCCATAATGGTTAACAATTATAAAAAGTCTTGGAATAATCAAATAAATATTATTTTTTTTTCTTCTAAGATACTGGTTTTTGCTTATCAGATATCTGATTTTTTTGTGCTCAAGGCGCAGTCCATTTAGTTAATAGGCTTATATATTAAAAGATAAATGTAAAAGAACATTTTTGTTATACTATGTTCAAATTATCGCGTAAGCGATAATATGTATAATCAGGTTAAACTAAATGTACATAAGATTGAAGACTAAATAATAAAGGCCTTCCGTGATAACTCAACTACTACGGAAACATATGCGTTATTTTAACTGTTACTTTTATAAAAATTATATTTTTGTATCTATATGTATAATTTGATCGGCGTACACAACATTAGTAAAATAAATAAAAATTAAAATAAAACGAAAAGTGGGGGAATTGTATAAATACCAAGTAAATTTTTAAATCAAGCGCTAGAATTATTATTTTTTATTATTATAACGTGAAACATGTCATTATATGTGTTATCTTAAAAAAAATTTTAAGAAAATGATAATTTTATTAAACTGTACCTTTTTTTTCATTATTTTAACATAAATATTTTACTTTAATGTGAAACGTATTATTATTATTATTATATGTCTAATCCTAAAAAACTTTTTAATTTTAATTGTTATAAAATGGATAATGTTATGAAATTGTAATTTTTTTTATTATTACTATAATGTAAAACATATTGTTATTATTATTATTGTATGTATAATCCTCAAAACATAATTTTAATTGTTATGAAAGAGATAATTTTATTAAATAGTATTTATTTTTTTTTTTAAAAAAAAAGAAAGAAGATATGTTAAAATGGTAAAAAAAATACTTGTAAGAAAGTTTTTACTTGTAATGTTATGAATCTTGACAACAGACAATAATGGTAAACACGTGTAATTTTCTATTTTCTCTCTGTTTAAATAAAAATTTGTAATCACTTATAGTTGTTTCTGGTACTTTTAATCCTAATAAATCCACTAACCTAACCAAGGCACATATTAGAATATATTTTGAAGTAAAATTAAAATTTAGGATGATTTTATCATCGGTAAAACGTGAAAAACTAGTGACTGATGTAAACTTGATGTCATAGTCAACCCGAATTGTTCAGTGATTATTATACTGTATATTTTTATCAATCAAGTCCACCACGTAAGATTGTTACTTCGGGATACACATTTCAATAATAATTATTAATCCGATGGGTACCTATTTAAAAATAGCGTATTGGAAAGAAATGCAGTTCTCTCGCATAATTTTCTGTAAAAAAAGAAGGATGTATCAAGATTAAAAAGCAAAATCTATGATAACATCGAATTGCACAATAAAAATTATTAATATGGTGTTATTGGTATTTCATTTGATACAATTACAATAATTTATAAAACACGTAACATTTGTACGTGGACAGATTATAAATATAAAATATTAATATATAATGTATGTATTCATATAAAACTTGGTACCTATACAATTAATTATCTATTTCGTTATGTTATTTAAAGTGTAATTGATCCTAAAAATAAACCGAATATAATGTTGAGTATACATTTTTAATCTTAAAATAATTTATTTATTAGAAATAGAGCGTTATTGTAAGCCATTATCGAATAAAATAAATGCCTCATTATGAAACTACCACTGACATTTTATTTCATACATAGTTATATATAATAGTTATAGTTAGGTTTAAATCTAAGTAGGCAAATACTCAGTATATTGATTATTTACGTTTATTAATTTATAAAAAAAATAAGTTATGTTGTTCAGATGTTCAGATAAGAAACAAATTTCCAGTTTATATTTTTTTTTACATTTAGGAATACAATATTTATGAATATGTTTGATTGAGATCTGATTGAAGTATTTTAAGTTTTTCGATGATTTAATCTATTGCCCTAATATGTGAGAATGGTTTTTAACAGTTAAGTGGCGATAACAGTGAGTAGCTCGGTGGAAATATTGATAAATAGCTCAGAGGCGACGTCGACAAGTAGGATTGCGTTGTCAAACGTGATTTTTTATTAAAATATGAGGATCCTTCGTTTCAGAGGTTTTAAAAATTTGTTTTCAATTTACCTTGTTTTAAATGTTCATAACTCATTGTTCAGCCAATTATTTTGTCGCGTATATTTTTAGCTGACTTACAAATCTCCATGTGTTCTCAGGTAAATGATTTGATATCACATCTTTATCGACATTTCTGATAATTGTAGCCATATCTTCGAAATGTTGTTTTCTTTTATAATAATCATTAAAATAATCGCAAATTAGTTCGAACTGCTGCGTATGAATGGAGACAATCAGTTCGAATATACTCCATTCCAAATATTATAATGTAATCAAATCAGCATGGTTGAGTATGACAACTGTAATGTACACTACTGGTACTGTCTTAATTTTTATCCTGGTATGATTTTGAGGAAGGCACAGCCCACCGAGGAGGGAAGCAGTGCTCACCCGGTCCTCTCATAAACGCGCCTTTGATAGCAGGTAAACCGTTGCATACGTATGATCCTACACGAACAAAAGTACGTTTCATGACCGAACAACTAGATAAAATAAAACGAACTTTGCGATTATTTAATGGCAAATCTCATAGAGGAATAATGTACTTCCGCCCTTATATTTGGACTAATGCTAGTTCTTATAGAAGACTTACTTCAAATGCTCGTGAGAATTTTTACTTCGAATTCAATTAAAATTTTTATCATCATCATATATTTTAAATAATAGAAGTTAAATATGTTTCAAATAAATACATATATTCAAATAAGAACATCAGATTCCAATAGACCTTAAAATATAAGCAAAAGAAACAAAATTATATAAACAACAAAATATTATAGTTCAACTTAAAACAATAACTTAAAATAACACAGTATGATTTTGTATGTTAAAAATTTGAGCTTTTGTAATTGGCTACACAACATTTAATTTATATTATTATCATTATATTAAATACGTATAATATGTGAATAACTTCTTCTATGGGCATATCCACTCTCTAACAGATTTAACTGCCATCACTACTCTTCGCCAACTATTTCCATCTTGAATTGCCTCTTTCCAATCTTCAACTCTAAGGGTTTTTAAGTTTTCTTCTACCACGTCAATTCATCTTTTTTTAGGTCTACCTCTAGGTCTTTTTCCTTGTAGTCTCCATTATATTGCTACTCTAACTACTTCATTCTCTCCTCATTATATGATCTAACCACTGTATTCATGTGAATAACTATACGTTAATAAATATATATGGACAAGATTCAATTGAAAATTGGATTAGATTTTTTTACAAGGTACAAAATCAACAAATTTTCATCCCACCAAGTATGTTGTCAATCCAAAATCTAAATAAAGAGGGAAGAATATTTGTATTCATTTTAATTTTATATTATATTAAACAACCATTTACGCTAATTTTTATCATGTACGAACTTACGTACCGGTATATTTTTTTCGTGTAGAAACTTACGTAGACAAACCCACGGGTAATTTTTACCTGATATATCTCGTGTGGGAATTTATATTCGCCCGTCACAACTTTATGGGTCATTGTCTCGTAATAATTAATAATTTTAAATAATATAGTCTTATAATAATATAATTTTATAATTTATTTTTATGATAATATAGGTATAAGGGGAGTATATGAACTTTTCCAAAATAAAAGGAATGTGTACAATATTGGTATATTATGTGAGTGATCAGTTGACGAAAAAAAAAATGAAGGGGGTATAATATACATAGATTACACGAACGTGGCTACTCGTGATGGAAACCTTATTTGTAAATATTTTCTTTTAAATTAACGATGGGGGTTAGATGGAGTAATGAGACTACTTACACCCACTCGATCCTGGGTTCACACACAAAGGTGGTTGAGTAAACAATCAGGCGGTAAGAAGAAAAATGAAAAAATAAATGATTGGCAGCAATGACGGTAAGGGGTAATGGTGGTTTCAGAATGTCATATTTCTATCTATTTAGGCAGCATATTGATATGCATACACAAGAATATAAATATTTAAAGCTCGATTAATTATTGAACTTACTGAGTTCCTGAGAAGCCACATGAGTTTTTATGGTACCTGGCAGCAAATATCCATAAGTTAAATATTTTTAATTCATTATTTATAAAATTTCACTCTTGTACACATTTGGAAACAAAGTATGACATTTTATTTTAAAAAACCTTGTTTTCAAATTTCGTTCAATAAAAAATCGACAAACCTTGATTTCTAAAATCCCATTGGTCACACCATTATGAATACAATTAGTTAGAATAGCGACGTAAACGTGTCTTATATAACTATTTTTCGAATTACATGTAATAAATATAATGGCGGAGGTACAAATACTCCATCGACGAATTTTCTTTTCTGGCTCTACTAGAGTTACGTGACCAGAGTTTCTGAAGGGACTTGGAATAAATTATAATTAAATTCACGTTTCTGTCATTATACATTTTCTCTTTTTAAATTTATGAATAATACACACATATATTTATACAAAATAAAAAATTCGAAAATATAACCATTAGAAGAGAGGGACCATACGGACCTCTCGGTGTTACCCCTTTCACAAGGCAAGACAATAATTGGATTTGAGAGTTTTTGTCCAGTTTGTTCATTATGATGAATCTTCTAATTTTAAATCTGTATTAGTTTTCTAACTAAATTTGAACACCATTGTAAAATTAATATTATCATACACCAATTTATAATCTATACAATATATACCTAATAAAAATGAATACGGCATATTTATAAAAATAAAAGTTAAATCACAGATGTATTAATTCATCGTAGCATTAAATGATTATGTTTTTATGTATAACTCAAGTGAAGTGAAGAAACATTATACTCGTATACTTTTTTGTTATACTACATGCCCTATCCTTGTAAAATTGTACGTGCAATTAAAATAAAATTACAACGTAGAAACGGATTTTAAATTCATTGAAACTATTGATCGGTCGCCTTACAATAATAATTTTCCTGCAGACTCTACTACCGGGTCGTGTCAATTTAGTGCTTCGGATTAATAATAGCCAAATTATGCGCATAACGCAAAACACAATTATGTCTTTGTGCTATTTTTGCGGTGCAAGACATGGCATTCGTGGTGTTGATCTCCTCGGTGAGCCGAGTATAATCATTTTCCCGTTTTCCAATCGCGGCTGACCGAAGGACAGTTCCTGATAAGCCAGTTTCATTCGCTCGAAATTGATCTTAGAAGCCAACTCATGATTGATAATCGGCAACGGGTAATCGATACCGATTATGCAATTGGCAGCTATCTGTACCGATTCTGGTGCCAACCATGGCTCGTGGGTGTATTGAGTAGGCATATTTTTTAACGCCGGAATATATCTCCTGTGGGACGAAAAAACAAATTAATATCGTGGATTAAATATAATAATGTCATAAACACTTTTCGAATCATATGACGGTGAAATTATTCTTTTTACGTGGTTATGCCTTATCGTTGGGGAGTTATGCTAAAACTTTGTTCGAAACGTTACGCTGGATATAAGATATCACTCAAGTCAGATGAAAACTACAAACGTTTAAAATACACAGTTGCCCTAAAAACTATTATTTGGTTTTTGTAGTAATAATTACTACTATTATTATTATTATTATTATTTATTGATATAATCATTTTTATAATATCAATTGATTCTGCTTTTATTAAAATATTTACATCAAATCTTATATGTTTTATTGTATCAGCAAAATTGTTGTTAGGGAAACGGTGCACATTACAGTTAGTGTCTTAAGTAAGACTTATCCATGAGTGAATATATCAGTGTACGGCTTGGGTAATCGACAACGACGAGTGTGGCATCTGGAGTAAAGATTTTATACATAATCTCCAATTTTTTTTTTTTCTATAAATCATATATTATTAATAATGAGGTTAGGCTCGGCGAAACTTATATGACACCTGATTAAGGTTTTTTATTTACTATAGTCTCTTTTTCGGCCACCGACTGACGAAACGCATACAGTTAAATTTCCTTAAACTAAATTTTAAAATATAATACACAAAAATCGGAGATTTTTCGTTCATACCAACATAGTAAAATCTAGGTGTTATATAAGTTGTCCGATTACACCACGAAAGATATCTACACAATACAAGACTGCTATTTACAATCAGATGGTAGGTAATGAAAAGATGGAAGTGATCTAATCGAAAATAATGAGGTCAAAAGTCAATCATTCGAAAAAAAAAAGTGATCACAATGATATTATTTGATCGAAGACTGTATTTATCGTAAAATATATTTTAGAAAACTTAAGAACCTATTCAAAATGTTATTTAGTCAAAGTATATTAGGGTTCAAAAATATATGATTTTAGACCAATTAAATAATAGTTTATAAAAATTAAACTAAAATATTATAGCTATTATTTATCATAATCTTTACTCATGAGTTTATATGTGAGGCAAAAATTTTCATTAATGAATTACAATTAAAGATAAATGGTTTATCTTCCAAGCCAACAGCATACATTGTATGTTATCAAAAGAAAATGTCGAACTGTTGTCTTATTTGTGTTTTTAATAATTGGTCTCAAAAGTTCGAATTTTTACTCCACACTCATTGATACAATGCGAATGAATTATGTATTTCCCGTCATTTATACTTTTAACTTTTTTTTTTTTTTTAAAAATTATTTATAATTAACAGAATCCCTCTATGAATGTTTAATACAATATTAGGATTCATCGTTCAACTGTTAACGTAAATACATAGGTACGCATTTGTATTTTATTTTACATTCAAGGGATTTCGATCAAATTAGCCGTATCAGCATATAGATAATCGTCTTTACACCAATATATTGAGTTTATGATTTGTACTTGGGTAATTAACTAGTTTCTGAACTTGATTTTGACTTAAAATTTTTTTTAAGTAATAAAAAAAAATGTACCTACTACTTTGATACAATATTCAAAACCGTAATTCAAACACGTAATGTATAAATAGTAATACTATTGTATTGACTAACAAACAAACCGTAATAAAATATACCTTATAAAATCGCCGTTCGGGTCGATTTTGCGACCGAATTTCACTGGACAGTTATAGCTGTGGGTAAAATCTTGGAAAAACGACGAACAAGAGTACCGCATCCACGACCCCGCGTTCACCGACCAATCGGCGTCTAACAGCAGTTCGTCGAACACCTGTACATATATTTATACGTGTAACAAACTTTAAGTACGTTTCGTTCGATACAATCACGTGATGACGTGTTCCATGTATACAGTCAATGTAACTATGACGGAGACGTCTGCGCGGTGTCCTCCTCTGTTGCTTCCGTACCGGTAACACCTACCTTCATTCCTTCCTCCCAGGACAGCCACAAGTCAGCCCACGTGAGAAAGCATGCGGTTACGTATCTCGCTATGCTGTGTATCCATCCCTCGTGCCTCAGCTGGATCATGATCGCGTCGATCAACGGATAACCAGTTTGGCCCTGTGTTAAACGATTCCCGTCGATACACTCCACGCGTACTTCATTAATCACGCACGTCAGGGGCGGGTTGAAGAAGGTGGCTAAGGGGGGATTAGCTCCCCTCTTGGGACTATGCTAACTATTTTACAAAGTCAAGTATTATGATATACTGATATATTGATAATTATTATAAAATATCGCCAATCGTCATTGATGAATATGGTACCTATTTTATATATTTTTTTATAAATAAATAGCTCATTTTTGTTGTTAATTTATATTAAGGTATAAATAATAAAGGTGTATACCTGTATTTTTAAAATGGTTTCAGATTAAAATTGATACCAATAATGTAACTATTTAAAATTTGTCACTGTTGTGAAAAAAATTACTTATGAAGGACTCAAAAACATATTCTGTAATTTAAAATTGTATATAGATTTAAAAAATAACTAACTAAATTCCTGAACCTCCATTATCCCCTCCCTTGGTGAGTGATAAACCCGTCCCTGACGCACGTATCACGCGGAATCATGATGGAATACTTACGTTGGCCCACTTGGACAGAGCCAGAGGATTTTTGTCCCACGGTATTTGTAAGCAAATTGGATTCCCTAATATCCGATCGAAGTTCGGATTGTTGTGAGACGCGCAGTAAAAGAAATCCCGCCACAACAATTGGCCGTGCAACGACAACGGCGGCCGGGTCTTGCGGATCTGTACAAGGTTCGGGACGGTTAAGTTACATTAGATATAATCGTTAAAGGTGTTTAAAATATAATGGGCAATACGCAATTCCGTGAAAAGTTTCCGAGACGTAATCATACACGTAACGGGATTGAGGAGATGTTATCAAACGAGTTTTCATCAACTTAACTGTTACAAATTCTAAAAATAAATTATGACGGAAACTTAATGATTAGTTAATGTTTACGTCGAGTAAAATTTCCATCGTGTTATCCAGAATTGAAATCTTAACAATTTAATTCGGTTTCTTCACGATTTTACTTATTACTTATTACTTATTTTTAAATGTTTAAAAATAATTAATATCAATAATAACTTATAAATTTTAGGCTAAAATTAATTTTTAAAGAGTTTGGTTATATTTAATTTAGGAAATATACACATAAGATATAACATGAGACTAGAATTAAATAAAATTTGAACAATTTAAAACGGCTCTTAATAATTTCTTGAATACATTCGAAAAAATTTTTATATAATCAGTAATATTACATAATAATTTCGGAATGTATCTATTTTGATGTACATATAGATTAGGGTTTTGGTTTTGGTTCTAAATACTGACTAGATCATTTTTTTAATACCAGCTTAAGTTTTAAAAATCAATTTTTATTTTCTAAGATTTTTATGATTTATATAAATGTTAGTCTTAAAAAATTTTAATTTATTTATAACCGGTCGTATAAAATCAGTTTCAGGCCCTATAAATATGATCTGTCTTATATTTCACTGTTTATAAGTGCATAAATACTAGTCATTTCTCTAAATTGTTTTGGTATTTACTTTTTGGTAAAGGTTGTTTAGTTTGGAAAAAAATAGTCTGGTGGACAGACATCCGAATCTTAAGTAAGGCGCAAGACCGGTAGGACTAGCTAGCAATGAATGTGATGTCATTTGTGGTTTGCCATAGGTTGCGATGAATTCTTTGCGCTCCAAATGACACTGTAGTCGTACTAATGCCTCGGTTTCGCCACCTTTCCATATATTCTGTCGAATTAGATTGTTTGGTTCTATAAATCCTGCACAGGACGAATAAAAAAGTTAACGAATAAAATATAACAACAAAAGATCTCCATAAAATAATGTTTTTTTTTTTATATTGGATTTTGATTAAAACATCACTTTATCTATTTACGTTTATATTATAATGTATACAATATTATAGTAAATTAATAATATTGTAACTTCCCGGTAATCATTGTAATATATCTATATACAAATATGTACGGTTAGTATTTATTTTATAAGAAAATAAATAATAAACTTTATGTCTGTGAAAATTTTTCCCATTGAAATGTTCATGAATTAACAGTAAATATAACAATTTTAATAATAGTGATTAAAAAAAAATATTTTCAGATTTTAAATGCATATGATATCGTTTTATCAATTTCTATGATTACTATAGTATTACTACAGTATACAATATAAACTGTATAAATTATTAATTTGTTATACATTTGACAATACATTAGGTATTTACCAAGTTCCTCAAGTGTAGGGACACCAAATATATCATTGTGATCATATTCAATCGGCGTAACAGCGCCTCCTAGAAAATCTTCGTCTATGGTAGGGACAGGCTCCTCTGGTGGTTCAATACACTCTAACAATTTATGAAATAAATTGTAAGTCATTGGTGCTTTTCCGCCATTTATGTTTATGATCCTAGAACCGACAATAATCATAAATTAAACATTTTTTAATAATTTATTTTTTCGTTACACGATTATATTGATCGGGTTAGTACTATTGAATTATTAAAAAGCCGATTTAAAAATTATATAAATATTATATTTTTTATCACCAATCATATGATTTTGAAAAAAATTTGCTTTTAAATTATATTTCATCACTAGATACTCAAATTTAAACTATCAGCAACAAATTATGGGATAGTTAATATTTCTATAGGAAAAGTATCGAGGGTGAAAAGTACTGGTGAATGGTCTGAATGAGTATTTGATATATTATCTATGCTGTTGTTAAACGGTTTGGTATTTTAGAGATGAATATGTCAAGGATATCTTGTTGTTTTCTTGGTAATGTTGGGCAATATGTTGTAGAGTTTTGGGAGCAAATTATTGTATAACTATGGAAAATAATAATTTTTCTGAGAACGTTTCCTCTAAATGTGTTTGAGTAGCACCCCCATAGAGTATGTTTGGCATTGGGTCACCTCCTACAACTTATAAAATTTATAATACATTTAGCATATATTTAATGTATTCTAATTTTGGTTGTTTTACGCTTTTAATCAGGGCTTAAAACCATTCCTAAGAAAATTGGTAATCGGCTCCGGTAGATGCCGAAAGTTTTTTAAAACCGGTAATTGGTTATCCTTTAAAAGATGATGATAAGGTTTTTTGGTAATCGGTTACCGGTTAAAATTGGTTTTTAAAAATCATATTTTTCAATTTTTTAATTTTTTAATCATATTTTTAACACCGTTTATTTAGGCGATTCGTGGGTTGATAATATAACTTTTATTATTACAAAATCAAAAGCTTAATATGGTTTAATTTGGTCGATTTCACTCAATTTCAATATTTATTTTTTCAAACTGCTTTAAAGTTTAAAACATATTATGATCAAGATAATGATTACCAAAAAACTAAATTGCATAAAAAAATATATTGTTATAATTTTCTTATTTATAACGGTAAAAAATCGAAATTAAATATAATAATTTTCTAAGATGACACTAAGATTGATAGATTGCCACAGAACTTTTTGGTTATATTATATATAATACAGTACCCCAAAAAATGGATGAGCAGATATTAAAACGATAGTATTAAAATATCATAAATACTAAATGGACTAAATAGACTAAGCCTCTATTCCACCAACTATATTGTAATAGGAATCAGCACACCACGACGATGACGTTTTGTAATGTATAGTTATACCTATATATATATATATATATATATATATATATATATATAAAGGTCGCTCCACACTATGCATGTTTCGCGTTTCGCGTTTCATGTTTTCACGTTTTCGTTGAATTTCGTGAATAGTGTGTATAGCTTTTTCACGAAAATTTTTTTCGTGAAAACGGTTTCGTAGTGTTTCGCGAACGAGGCGGTAAAATTGACGAAATCAAAGGACACGAAAATATTTTTCTACAAAACACTACGAAACGCTACGAATCACTATGAAACGCGAAACGCAAAACGCGAAACGCGAAACATGCATAGTTTGGAGCGACCTTAATATTATAATATAATTATGACATAATTCAAGTATTAATACAACGAAAAACCGTTAATTATTTTGGTCGGGAATAGGTTTTGGTTATAAAACTGGGATTGAAAATACGAGATAATCGCTTTGATGTTAATATTTAGATATTTACCTTGATTACCGATAACCAATAACTGCTTCCAGCATTCCAAAAATAAAAGCGGTTATCGGTTTTCGGTTCTCAAGTTTACGGTTTTTTTTATCAGTTTTCTTTACAAACCGGTTACCGGTTTTAAGCTCTGCTTTTAATATATTAATCGTTGAACACTTTTAAATGTATATAGCATAGTTTTTTCCAAGTAAAAAGCTGTTGACACTAAATAATTAATTTAAAATGTTTTATACTTGCTTGTCTAATTTATATAAAGTGTGTGTGCAATGTGTAATAACGGAAATTCCCATTTCTCGACACATGACTTTAATATTTTGATCTCTTACTCGGCCAAATGGTTCGGGATCTTCTTCAAATGTAAAATTCGTCGTACCCCACATCTTTAAAAATATTCCAAGCATTAAAAAAACACATAATACAAAAAATATAAATATATACATTCGTTGCCCAAGACACTCTAAGGCAGTGGTGCCTAACCCACCACCACATGTGGGCCGCGAAGGTATTCAACGTGGTCCGTTACAATTTTTTTTTTTTAAATAAAATATTAAATAAAAAAGTAAAATTATTAAAAAATAGATTTCTTTTTTTTGAAATTTATTTATTTTATATTCGAAAATTTCCAAATAGAAATTTTACGATATTACCCGTGCACTTAAAAGAGCGTTCTAATCAAATATGCATTTATCTATAATCTTTTTGGTAATCAATAAGATATTTGAAAACAAATTCCATATATACCTACACGTATATTGTAAACCTACTATGACATATTGATATTATTCGTACTTTTATATTTAGTGACCCGCTCTAAGATAATTTTTTACTAAAATGGCCCACCGAGGAAAAAAAGTTGGACATCATTGCTCTAAGGTATAAGATAATAAAATATATTGCTTTATTTTACACCAATCGTACGAGAAGTCTGCACTTGTCGAACCAATTATTTGCGGACATTCATAGTACAAGTATAGAAACAGATACATACTACACCTAAATTCGTCTCAGGCAATATAATAAAGAAAAACTATAATTTTGATAACTTACTTTAAATATTTTTGGTAATGCCTCTGCTGGCTGTCCTTTTATGACGAACAGTCTAGAATTTAACTTTTTCAGACTGGCGTCTAAATCTGAAAGACACTGTAACAGAAATCTGGAACACGAACACTAAACACGTAAAGACGTCTGCGTTTACTCAACTTAAATAGTGAGTGAGTATGTTTACCTCCACTTATTGATGCCGACGTTTAATGCACCAGCAAACCATGGGTCGAGTATGAAAATGCATCGGAATGTCTTGGCATCGACCAATCCCTCCCGCAAACTAGGGTTGTCGTGAAGTCGTAACCCTTTACGGAACCAGTGGACGGTATGTTTTTTTTTTACATTATAATCCATGATGCTCTAATGGAGAACACACGAATATTTATTCGGAACATTCGGAATACGTTAATAGAAGTTAACCAATGATAAACAAAAATGACCTACTTTTCTGTATCAAAATTAATAGTGCTAGTACATGTTAAAACTTTTAATTGTAATTCTCCGAACAAATATGTTTTTAAGTATTTTTCATCCGTGGAATGCTGTTTGGTATTGCTATTCAATATCATCGTCTATAATCACAAAAAAAAATGTATCAGTACAAATAAATATAAATAAATTATTGCTGTTATATCATGTATTTATTTTTCATTAGTTTTGATTTTATTGTTTGAATGTATAATACTCAATGACATACGTTTTTTTTCTTTATTTTTCCTATTTTCTCCCGTATATTTTTTATATGATGAGTTGCATGAATTACAAAAACTTAAAATTAGTTTTTTAATGAAATGAGTACACACGCAGAAGTAAAATATAATTTTGTAAAACTTTCCCTACCTATTCTCTATGTATGACTACGTCTCTTTAATAAAGATTTATTAAATAATTATAAAAATAAGTATGCATACGGGCATCACTTTTCAATAATGGTTGTTCCTTGTAGGTACTTGCATTATATCTAGAAGATCAAACTTAGCAAATTGATTGTTGTCTGTTCTCAGTTGACTTCACTTTCATTTAACATATCTTTATAATAAACATTAAAATATCTAACACCCACTTTCTTATTCAATTCTTCATAGTAATTTTTTTCAACGAAAATAATTTAAGACGTGCAGCACCTTTAAATCTGTTTATTCATGATTAAATTTTGTTCTATGTATGTGATACGATAAACACTACAGAATACGACAGTATATTTGAACGAATAAAGTAACTTAAAAAAAATAATGTTTAATCATAGTAACAGCGTGTGTAACATTTATTGCAATTGTTTTTGCTGTTATATAATACCATTGTTGATTTTATAAAATTATAACTAAGCAATTTTTTTGGCTTCCTGACTTCAGTGGAAGCCTTCCATTTCGGTAGATGTATGATCAAAAACTCAACCTTCTTGACTCCAATTTTGTTTTTCTTGTAACAATTAATGGAATCGTGTATCAGTTATAACCGATTATTATGATGTTTTTTTTTATGGATATCTTGCGATTATGTACTAAATGCTTATATCTTAGCTGATATTAATTTTTTGATGTTTTTAGGGCATTTAAATCCGAGCCCTTAGTAATCACTATAAGCGTCGACCACTGTATAAGGTCATTTGGGACCCAATTTACTAACTCTCGTTAAAATGAACTAGGTATACCTACTATCCATGTTCATACTATACGTATTATAGATACAAGACATACATATAAGTATATTTTATATTTTGAAATCAATAAGATAATTGGGTTTGAACCATTTTGCATTTTATCTATTTTTATTGAAATACTAAACATTTTCACGACATCTCATGGTACTAACATTATGACCAGTGACTCTCAAAGTCACTGGTCTGAAATATAGTTGAAATTATTTTATATTGTACGAACTTATGGATATTCGAAAACAAGTAGCTAGTAGAAGTTCATGAATCATTTTTCTTTCTTTCCTTTTCAGTTATATTTACTCTGCGTCTCTGTTTTAAATCTTACACAACGTTTTAGTTTGGATATATCTTGTATGATATATCAATTTTTAAATTTTTTTCTCATTTACTCGTATTTTTTATTTCTTTTAAATAACAAAAATCGGATGATAATTGTTTATAAAATTGAAGTGGCTTCATTTATAAAAAAAATAAATATAGTTCTGCTAATAGTTAAAAACTTAATTTCAATACATATTTTAAAGGATTAACAAGAAAAAGAAATTATTTGTATTCTTTTAATAAACTAATTGGTACATAAATATTATCAATTCCAGATGAAAACCCATTTTTTTTTAGATCTGATAGGTGATTTGCGATTTCTTGTTCATCAATATTGTGTAAATAATTAACAGAGGTATTTTATGAATGTAATTTTCTGTGTAATTAGAAGATTTTTTTTTTAATATTTTTGTTTGATTTATTTTAGTTGGTAAGTCTGATGCTACACATTTAAAGTAATCGTTAAATATATTAGAAATAATATCATTATTTTCTTTGACTTAATTTTTCTCCATCTTATAATAGAAGACTTTTATGATATTGTTATATTCCGTATCATGAATTTGTTTAATTTTTTAACGCTCAAGTGTTTGAATATGACCATTAATCTTTCTAAAATCTATAATTATGTCGAGTTATCAATATGATGTTTTTCGTTGCAAGTATAAAATCTATTAACTTAAATATAAACAGTAACGTTTACGTGTTCTAAATATTTGACCGTTATAATGCATTAAAAAACAGTAAAAGATACTATTATATAAAATGTAAATCAATGAGAAGCTTTTTTTGAAACCAGCCTCGAATGTAAATTATTATGAACTAATGAATTATAAATGTGATTGAGATATATGCTAATCGTGTAACATAAAGAGTTTGAATATTTCTAAACGGTTCAAAACACATATAATTCCTGACTTATTAAAATATCGACACAAAAATATTACGATTACAAACAATAACTTAGATTTGTATTACTATTAATTAAGGGAAAATTTGTAGTAGTACAACATTGTAATTATTTTTTTACGCTTATTAAAATTATAGCAAACTTAGGATGCTTATATATTTTTTATCACATTTTTGTACACGCGATTTGTTAGACGGTAGACTAACTTGTAAGTTATAGACTAAGTTGTAATTGAAAAGAATAATATGAATTATTACAAGTATTAAAACGAATATATACGTACGCATGTCACTGTATATAATTTACAGTGCCATATTTTAATAGAGTAAATTATAAAATATTATATAATGATTGTTGTCGAAAGTAGTGTAAAAAACAACCGGAAGCATTTATTATAAGTTTATTATAATTGTTTTAGAACAGCACAATAAAGTAAGAGGTACAACAAATCAAAAGGCAAATGTTGAATTACTAAATACACATTTAATATAGACTTGTTATTATACTTTTGATTTAATATTTAGATTTTCGCAGTTTTGACGTATATTTATTGAAAAATACATTTTTATCAACGATGAAAGTAATTTCATATTATGATAAGCTAATATAAATATAAACCGTTTATTATGACATTCAAAAAACTAGTAAAAATTTATCATAGTAACTTTTTCTAGTTTTTAAAAATTTGTTTTTGAATTTACGTTATTCTGGGTCATTAATAATTCGTTAAAATGATTTACTGTTATAGTAACTTCGATCAATTTAGTAAAGTCATTATAGATAAAATATTTTTTCAATATAATCAAAAATAACCGTCATAATATCCGTATAATCTATCATGATAATCATAATAATCGATACAAATTAGTATTTGCAGTATAAGTTTTGCCCAAACCTATTAAGGTAATTTCTCCCAATTTGACACTATAACCGGTGTTATCATAAACGGTTTCTATTGTAATTATTTTACGCACATGATAAATTCATATCCGACTTTATCATATTGAAACCAGCTATATCTTTATAAAACATTTCCGATTGGATAATTATATAATTAATAACATTTATTCTCAAGTCATTTAAAATAAACTCATTGTAAATCCACCCACGTTATTGATTTTTAATAAGAAATATGTATAGTTTTCAGCTACCAACATTGATTATTTTGAAGTCACTATGTGTACAATAAGTGGGCTAGGATATTTTGGCGATAAACCATTTCGGCGACTTATTATTATAATTTAGAATTTTATCTCGAAATCATCAATACCCATGTGTAAACGAACTGAACACCCATTTTTAGGTTGGCATCATCAAAATGGTTTAATACCGCCAGCACTAACTTTATCCAAAACCATAATATGTTTCATATATTATATGAAACCATGGTTTGAAAAAATGTCTCTATCTTTACTTGTCCTAAGACTCATTTTAAACAAAATGTTGAAATAAAATTTTTAAAAGTTCAAACATATGATAATCATATTATAATAATCGATAATATTTGATAGTTCAAGATTTATTTCAATACAATTGTATACACAACCATTTGTCGAATCGTCGAATTGGTAGGTCGCCGAAATGACTTCACCGAATATTTAAAACAATTCCTAAAATTATAGGCTTGACATAATACATTGATCATTTAAATTAGATTTGTATTAGTGGTATACCGATAAGGTAGCATGACGGGATATAAGCCATGAGTAAAGGACTCTAAAGAGACAATCGAAGAAAGTTGAGAATCCAAATAACAGATAATCACTATTACGAAATTCAAAAACACCAGGGTCTTCAGAAAAAAATATGCTCAACTTAATTTATCATTTAAAAAAATTACTAACGCTTATAGAATATTTTAAATGCACCATTTGCTCGTTGGCGCGCATAGTTTGTAATATTAGTATACGATTATATAAATATAATATTCATTTTGGAAGGAAAATAACAAGGAAACGCTCTCCACATTGAGAGTGGTGTAATCTCTAGTCTAAGAAACCGTAATTGCAATTTGTCGCTTATTCGATTTGTTATCAACTCGTATATAAGATCGTTTAAGAGACTCGACATTACTGTCAATCAAACTAGAAACAACTCGAGAAATTACTAAAAAAAGATTTAATCAATAATTTAAATTGCCAAATCAAGAAAGAAAAAATTCTCATAAAACTGACAGTGCATTTCTTAAAATATAAATCAAATATTTAAAATATGTTGTTATTGTCTGGTTTATATTATTTAAATCAAAATAATGAGTTATCTATGACATATAATAAAAAGTGATTATATTCATAGTTATATACCTATTAAATATATTTTTAATTAATTATTACCTATTAACTTTGGTGTACAACACAGCCCTGCTCAATACGCACCTTAAAGTCAATATTACCACTACGTGAAATTGACCGAATGAAAAATGTTTGATTAGGTGAATAATGTTACGTATTTTTCTAAACCGAGTACAAATGCCAATAACCATTTACGTAATACTATTATATGTTATTTGTTTTTTTTTTTTTTTTGACATACATAAATCATACTTATATAATAATATTGGTTACTGTAGTTTTGTTTTCCTTTGGGCACATGTATATGCTCAATATTCGTCTGTATATGAAACGGGTTTATATTTTATATGTATACTGTTAGACAAGTTATGCAATACGAATAAACTGAAAACGACAATGACAAAAAAGATGCGATGTCCTGATGATGCAAAAAAATTTTTTTGAGGAAAATACACAACATTTAATGTTATTAGTAAAAATGAGGATGTAGTATTATAATATAGGTATAAATGAATGAAATCATGTGTCAATATTAGTACTATAATGAATAAGCTGAGAGTGAATAAAATTATAAAATGCAAAAAAATATTTATTTAGAAAATTGTTTTACAATAAAAAATAATGCACTAAAATATGCTCTTAAAATTATTTTTATGAGCACTAAAAATCAATAAAGCCCTGTGTCACAGTTTACATAAACCTTTTCAGTTTCTACATCAATCTCGAAAACACGATAAAATACATAAACACTCATAAATATAGATATCAACATAAATAAAGATTTATCAATATAAATAAATATTATTCTGAATATTTATGCATTAAACAAATTTTTTTTGCATCATCACCATCGTAGTGGCGCTTGGTTAATAAGTATTCATAGTTTGTGAATGTTTTTAAAATGCTAAAATGTCACTTGATAACTAATGTGTTCAGGTTTTATTAGTCAGTTATTCTAAAAAAAATCAGCTTTTAGAAAGAAGTACTTTTCCACACATCACCGAGTAAAAACGAGACAAATCTGTCTATCCCAATCTATACACTATAGGAAGTTCTGAGTCACTATACGAGTATTGTACTGACGAGCTCTCGTGTGGTTACGTAGGTTCTCATAAGAAAAACAGCAAACAGTCGATTACATGCACGGTCGGGTTTAAGGGGGTGACTAAGGGGGCATTAGCCCCCCCCCTTGGGACTAAGCTATCTATTTTACAAAGAAAAGTAATATTATATATTAATAATTATAATAAAATATCGTCAATGGTCATTGATGAATATGACACCTATTTTATATATTTTTTTTATAAATAAATAGCTCACATTTGTTGTTAATTATACGTATTTACCTATATTTTAAAATGGTTTCAGATTAAAATTGATACCAATAATGTAACTATTTAAACTTTGTCATTATTGTGAAAAAAATGACTTACTTATGAGGGACTTAAAAACATATTCAGTAATCTAAAATTTTATACAGATTTAAAAAATCAACTAACTAAATTCTTAAATTTCCATTAGCCCTTGGTTAGTGATAAAACCCGCTTCTGATTACATGTGTGAGGTCCTACACAAACCTCACATGAAAATATACTGATAATTTAAGTTCATAAGTTCCTATGTGAAAAAATGTATAAATATGAAATATATCGCTCGCAATGATAAAATTAAATTCACTCATTTCTTAATATTAAAAGTGATATATGCGTGCCATCAAGTACAAGGTTCTGTCTAGACTTTTCTTTATTACGTACAAAATGATGATACACCGCTAAGAAAAAATAAGCCGCGATTTGAACAAATTTAAAATGTACTGTTCTTACACGTTTAGTTGTCAAATAAAAGTCTGAATAAAGTTGAAAAAAAATTATTTGTACTAAACTATAGCATACACATATATATATATATATATATATAAATAATACATTTGTTTGCTTGATGATAACCAGTAGTGTCATTTCAATTTTTTTTAGTCGGTTTTTATTAAATTGCTGACTCGGCCGGCTCATTTTACCAAAGTACCGATTGACGAGGGAGGGAAGGGGACGTCAAACCAGTCGAAAAATATAATGATTTGTATTTATAGTAGGTAAACGTCTCATTTTGGTTAACAAGACGTCAAAGTATTTCATAAAACACGTATTTATGTACTGATTTACGACTTTTGGAGAATAGCTTAATTCTAGACTACGGCAAATGCACGAGTTACCTCCCCTCCTCCAAATGACACCACTGATGACGGGCGCGGCTTCAGAAACCTACCAGAGGGGGGGGATTTTAAGTATTAACTGATAATAGTCGTTTTCCCAAATTAGTATTGAGGCACACAGAGTCCAACTACATTTTTAAATTATGATACACACCAGATATTAATGTCATAATATGGTTTTTTAGGCGAAATAAAATTGTCTGGTCGGTATCTAATCAAATAATAGGGATTTTATAGTTGACAAGGACAAAAATGTATTAAAAAAATTTAATTCTTAAAAACCCTTGGGGGGACCATGGCCTCAGTGCCCCCTCGGAGCTGCGCCTGTCTGATAATAAATCGTGGTTTCGGCTGTTGAGAAGTTTTTTATTTTATTTTATAAACCGTGATTTCTATTCGCGGCCGCGAAATCAATCAAAAACCGTTCGCTTACCTGCCAAGTCCATCGGATCGCCACTGACGCACGACGACGGCGACCACGACATATCGCGCGTGTCTATCCCGTCACGGGCGGACGATCGTTGGTGCGCGATGCGAAGGGATCACGTCGAATAGGTGTCGAGTGCCGAATGGGTCCGCGCGAGTTGCATACGTGGCCACGTGCGCGCACCTCGTAGAAATGTGAGGGATATACGGCGGACGCCGAGGCGACTGTTACGTACGCACCTACTAACGCGCCGCCGCTGAGGTCACGTGGCACGCGGCCGGTCACGTTGCCACCGGGGAGCATAATTCGGTTTCCGTCTGTTTCGCGGTACGTCCGACACAACAATGATAATAATAATTCTGACGACGCTGATGATTATTATTATTACTATTATGTTAATGCCGTCTCGTTCTTAAGCATACATTTTACTTTCTCGCGCGCACCTGTTTCGATTTTTGATTTTCATACGATTACACTATTTTCCGTTTTCCTTAACGCCGATAATTCAGCGGTAGGTCGACATTTGTATTTGTACTTTCGGAATCATTCAAACTTTTAAAGTTGTGCGCGAAGAGTGTAAAATAATTATAATACACATTGATGTTTTCCTTTTGCACCAGCCACCGACGAGCATTAACGTTGGATCTGAGTTGATTGAAAACAGTAGCAAAAAATACATTACATATTATCAATAATAATTTTGTTCTATGCATCAAAGAAATTATACAACGTTCTACTTTGATAAATCTAAATAACTATTAAATTGATTCGAATTTTGCTTTTGTTACATTAAAAATATCAAAAAACGAATAATTTATTCGCATAATAAATGAAATATTTTAATTTACAGTATAGGTATTCGTGAAAATATAATTAACGTTCTACTTAACTTTTCAATAGTTATTTAATTTTAATGAAATGTATATCTAAAAATTTCAATTAAAGAAAATATTGTGGGCTCTCAAAAAATCGTTTCAACACCTTATTGTTTTGCAGGATCGAAGCTTAGTATACTAACACAATTAGTTAATTTATTCGCATTCGTAATCAATACTAGAGAGCTTACAGATTATCTGTTGATAATCAATACGTCAGAGGAATTTTAGAATAAAGATTATTGGAGTTTCACTAACTGAATACCACCTGCATACTGCAAAAGAACTAAGTAAAATTACATGAATTATTATTATTTAGAGAACTATATAAATACTTATCAGTTTAATTGTATTTATTTTGTGCATTATATTTATAAAACACTAAATGCCATTTATTATTCAATTAGCATTCTATAAATATTCGAAAATGTAACTCTTAAATTTAAAATTTTACCATTGTGAGATTTTATCCCTCGAATTTCAATAAAAATTAAATGAACAATATTAATTATTTAGCTATACCTTAACATCTCGTATAACGTAATTAATTTGTTATATTTACTATATTCACTTGAATTATAAGTGTAAAGTTGTATAACTAAACATTTTAAGTAATAATTTTATACCTACAACCGTGTTTGACTTATTGAATTTTCCCATCTATATATTATTAGTCGAGATCAAAAACGGGAAATTTTCATTGTTAAATTATCTGTAAATGTAATAAAGATAAATTAATAATTGTCTACTAAGTAATTATTTAAAGAATAAAAAGTTATTTTAAATACATGGTTAGAACCTTTACACTTATGATCTTTATGATTATAGTTTATTTAAAAAAAAAAATTACCTCTTATTAATACGTTATACATAAATGATGACATATTGATTGTTATACATAAAACTATTCGTTCACTTTGATGAAAATTAAAAATTACCGTTACTAAGTGGTGACGAAAAAAAACAATTTGTGCACGTACTCGTAAAACGAGACGAGGCCTAACCACTGACCCATGTTTGGATTTAAAGCATAGTAATATTTACGTTACATGAAAAATATTATTAGAGAAATAAGATTTGATAAAACTGGACCAACTCACCCACTACTGAAATATTATTGAAGGATAGAGTCTTTCTGCCTAAATATAGGGTTCGGCATCACTGCCGTTACCAGTGCTTTATGTCATACTTCAAATTCAGTGGTTATAAAATAAAATATAAATTAATATAAATATAAATTAAATAAAAAATTAAATTAATTAAATATAAATTAATGTAAATTAATATACATTTCTTAGAATATAATCCATATAATTCATTGAGTATAATTTTCAAACCATAAAAAAAACGAAATGAAGTACTTAATATATTCGTATTATAAATACTTGATATTACACATTAAATTAATTGATTACATATTTAATATTATTTCATTATTTTTCAAACGTTCGTAGAAATAAATATAAAAATAAATTAAATTAATTCAAAATCATAAAACAATTTGCTTAGAATCTTATATTATAAATCAGTCCAGTAGAAATTCGAGCCCACTTCTAGATATATTTCTATATTCTTAGCTGAACAAAAAATGTATTAATTTTATAATTAATTTTTTTTTTTCTATAAATATTCATTAATAAAATATATAACCATTGTTTTCTTTTTATACATACATTTCACGAAAATAATTTATATTAGGCTTTAAGTTCGAGTAAGGAAGTAATATAATTTATTGTCACTAAATAGAATCTTGAATCAAAATAATAAACTTTCTGTAACTTAAACTTTACTTGTATACGAAAATAATAATTGGGTCGACAGTTAACTAATAGATAATCGAAAGTTTAATAAGAATTAACGCATATTTTTACTAGATTTCTCTCGTCTTAAGAACATTTATTTACTTTTTTACGCATATTACATAATCATCATTATTAAAGGCATCATATGTGATTTTTAGGTTCAAAGATTAGATATAAAATTTAGATATAGAATATAAAAATCTCGTGTTGCAGGATTTGTGACCATACTCCTCAAAAACGGCTTAACCGATTTTAATGAAATTTTGTATACACACGTAGGTCTGCGAATAGGTTTTTATCTATTTTTTATACTCCTAAGTGCTATTGTTTAATAAATCGTAGTATAATTTAATAATTTTTGACCAGATCGATAACTGCGTAATTGAAAATGAATTATTAAATGATACTATTAAAAAACTATTAAAAACTATTTAAAAGATAATCATTTTATTTTTGATATTAAATTATGGGTATTATATAAATATTAAACAATAAGATCCCGCGACAGGTGCCAAAACAAACAAGAATGTTAGTTCGAAGGATTATTATGCATATCGGTTGATGATTAGACGCGATCAGGACAACGTTATTTTACGATGTCGTGAGCTTTTTCAATAATTATTCAATAATTCATGATCAACATGTATATAAAGATAGAGAGTGAACGATTTCGATAATTGCGATTTAATCAAAAAAAGCTGCATGCGGAAGATTCTCAAAACAATTGTTAGATATCGTTGATGAAAAAGTTACTACAGATGAAACGGGATGCATAAAATTACCGACCGATTTCTGTACGATCATTGATTCGCAAGATGCTCTCATTAACCAGATATTTCTCAATGTACACAGACAATACACAAATCATAAGTAGCTAGCAGAAAGAGCAATTTTAGCAGCAAAAAATGTGGACGTCAACGAATTGAATCTCAAGATACAACATTTGTTACCAGGAGACTTGTATTAAAGGATTAATATTGTATTTTACAAATTTTGTCATGGTTAGCGATATATATAATTTTAAAAGATCAATTTTAATAAATTATTATCGTAGAATAACGTTGCCCTGGTCGCGTCTAATCATCAACCGATATGCATAATAATCCTTCGAACTAACATTCTTGTTTGTTTTGGTACCTGTTGCGAGATATGGTCGTTTATTATTTATGCAATACCCGTCTTTTAATACTAAAAATAAAATTAATAGTTTTTAATAGTTTTATTTAATAATTCATTTTCAATTGCGCAGTTATCGACCGGGTCAAATATTATTAAATTAAACTACAATTTATTAAACAATAGCACTTTTACAAAATTTGTTTTCGTAAAAACCTTCTCCTGGCAATTACGAACAATTAAAAAAATTTGAACCGAATCGGCCCAGCCGTTCTCAATTGATGACATTTTGTATATTTTTGGTTCCATTTTTATATATAATTTTATTTATATATAAACACATTAAAAATCATATGTCCTTTCAATAATTCATGACTTTAAATATCTCGGAGTCAATATAAATAATAGAAATTACATGTATAATGAAATCAAACTTTGTTTAAAAGCTGGTAATGGGTGTTATTTTGTTTTGTTACATCTGCTAAAGTCAAAATTATTGTCTAGGAAAGCCAAAGAAACATTATATACCACATATCTCAGACCATCTGTCATACGCTTGTTGTACCTGGGCTACAACAGCAGGAGATGAAAATAAACTAAGTTTATTTGAAAGAAAGGACTTAAGAAAAATTTATGGTCCCGTGTATAACCCTGATGCCCAAGTGTGGGAGAGAAGGTCAAATGAACAGATAAAGCAGCTATATGGAAAAGGAAGTATAACACAATTTGTAAAGGTACAAGATTGGAGTAAACAGGCCACGTCTGGAGAGCCGACAACAGTATTGTCAAGACGGTACTTTGTAAATAATTTAAACAGAAAAATACCGCGTGGTAGACCAAAGCAACGGTGGTTATAGTCAAAAAAGATATGAAGGAGCTGAAAACAGATTGGAATGAAGACATGAACCATGCGTATAATAGAGAAGAATGGAAGAATTTAGTATTGACAGTAAAGGGCCTAAATGGCCTGTAACGCTATAAAAAAAAAAAAATAATAAACACATTAAAAAGATTTATTATGAAATCAAAACTATCACTTTGTTTGAACATTAAATAGGTATTAATTTATCATTTATTATATGTATACAAGTTACTAACTGGTTAAAAGTTGAATATATCAATATTTCAGTTTCATAGATGTTAAAGCATATTTTTTTATTTTCTTTTTCTTTTTTTGAGTTAATACTTCTAACATGTAGGAAGCAATACAAAAAAATATTATTATATATAACTTTTAACGGCCACAAGAGATTTGATTGAACTATTTGCAACCGCCACTACGGTTATCACTGTAAATCTCATTTCTGTGAATGAATATAATAAAATTTATAACAACAAATTTTAATTTTTAATTAAAATTCATTAAAAATGAATAAATAAATTTTCAAACATAATTTATTTTATAATCAGAACGGGCCGTGGC